AGTTAGGGCTTAAACTATTTTTCTATACGGAGATTGTGGAGTTAGCATTTTAGCAGTGCTTTCTAACTTCTTGATGATCATAATTCTTTTTTAAGCGTCCAGTGATCAAAGCACTTGTGGAGCATTCTATAAAATTGTACGATACTGTCCAATGACAAACCCTATATCAAATATCATAAAGAGTTGTCAATGATTTTAATATTTCTCAAATAGATAGAACACGCTCATTTATTTCTTTTTTTTTTTTTTTTTTTTTTGAAACAAAAGGTTTGCTTTACTTGAAAATATTATGAGAAGTGAAAATTAGTATAATCAGAAGTATGTTGAGTTGTTTCGTTAACAAACACAGAGTTGTTGTATCTCCTGTATATATTAAGAATCCTTCATCCAACAAAATTGAGCGATGAAATTACTTGTCTAAACTATTTCCCGTGGAAATTGAATCTTTTTATACTCAATTAATAATTTTTGCAATTTCAATACGATATAAAAACTACGATATAAAAACTAAATGGGAAAAACAAGACTGTACAGACAGGTTAAAGTTATCATAAAACTATTTAATGTTATCCTTTATATTACAAAAGTTATTTAATAGGGTAATGTTATATGCAGCCCTGCATATAACCATTTAATATACTTTCTTTTTTAGTATTAAGTTGGAAATTTATTGACAATTCACGAGCAAATCGGTGCAATAAATGTTTATTTATTGTCTTTTTTTTCAATTTTTAGCTTCTTATATGCAGCCCTAATATTATTGTCGTTAAAATGTATTAAATTATACATATAATATCTTATTTATCGTTTATATAATATTATATCACAAAGTTTTATATGTGACCAGCCGCACCGTACGGCCAGCCTCAATATAATTTTTTATTATTTCTATTTTTTTAATTCTTCTTCTCTCTCTTCTTTATCTCCTCTTTTCTAGTTAGCCACCCATATTAACCCCTTCACCAAACTATCTCCTATTTCTCTCCTCTTTCTCTCTCCTTCTTTCTCTAAAAAGGGGCAGCATACTTGCAAAACAAACCACCTGCAATTACAAAGGAAGAACGCATGTCCTCCACCAACCCGTCTTCGTACTCCATGAGCTTCTCATACTCCATCGTCGGAAAACAACTTAAAGGTTTTTAATGCCAAATTTGGCCATAAATACTCTAGATCTAGAGTTTTATGGTCAAATTTGACCTTTTTAGCCATATTTGAAGTGAAATTCGAAGCCATTGTCAATTTTTTTTTGGATAAAAAACCCCAACAAAGAACTCATTCATTCATAGGGGAATCAACATTCACCAAAGGAACAATACAATTCGGGAACTCCGACATCCAAATGCGCCTACCTAGAACCCAAGAAGCAAGATGAGCAAGCTCATGGGCTACTTTATTACCCTCCCTATGAACAAACGACCACGACACACACTCAAGAGAATTGCTTACATGATAAATATCATCAAGGATAATACACACCGAGCTAGACCCCCTCTCTTGTGACTTAATTGCGTTAACCAACCCAAGATAGTCGCTCTCAACTATCACCTTCCTGTAACCGAGCTCAATCACAGTCTGCAAACCTAGCAACACAGCCATAGCCTCTGCAATGTTAGACTGCCAACACTCCTCCAAGTTCCACGCAGCTGCAATTGTCAATTTTAAAGGTATTTGTTCGATTTAATTTTTTTTTTTAACATTTGGTTGTAGGTTCGATTGGATCTATGTTTGCTTGTGGGTTTGGTGTATGGTGGTGGTGGTGGCATGGCGTATTGGGGGTGGGGCTAGTGGCGTTTTGGGGGTGGTGATGGGTCAAGGGTTACTAGGTCGGGAGTTACTTAGAGGGTTACTAGATAGGTAGGTCAGGAATTACTTAAGGGGTTACTAGATAGGTTACTTAAGTGGGGTTACTTGAAGGGGTTACTAGGGGTTACTTGGGAGGTTATTTAAGTGAGGTTACCTGAGGGGTTATTGGAGGGGTTATATAAGGGTTTACTAAGTCGGAGGGGTTACTAGAGGGGTTACTAAGTTGGAGGGGTTACTTGGTCCGGTTAGGGGTTACTAAGTCGAAAGGGTTACTTAAGGGGTTAATAGAGGGGTTACTAGATGAGTTACTTGAGGGGTTACTAGCCAGGGGTTACTTGGTCCGGTCAGGGGTTAATTACTAGGTCCGGTTAGGAGTTACTTGGTCCGGTCAGGAGTTACTAGGTCTTGGTTGGAGGAGTTACTAGGTTGGTGGGGTTACTTTGTCATTTTGTGATTTGGCACTCTGCCGCATGGTGCGGCCAACCGCACCAGAAACGCACTGATATTACCTTACAAAAAAATTTATCGTTTTCCTTTTTAATATTATCTTACGAAAAATTTATAATGTATTAAATTAATCATATTAACCTTTATATTATGTAATCATGAATCTATACGAAATTACAAATTAAAATAAAATTCAAACCAACGACAAATTAAAAATTTACCTTTTAAGTGGTTAAAGTTACCATTAAAATAGTTAAAGTTATCCTCAAACGAACCGTTTTATAATAAAATTAATGTACACTTAGACTTGTAATTATCTGGCATATGTGTATTAAGAATGTATTTACCAACCAAGATACGAAGTATATAATTATGTACTCCGAAGTTAGTTGGTTTCATCACATACTACCTATAATATCATATTTACAAGATAAGTGAACTTTTTTACTAACAAAAAAAAAACAAAGAAATGATTAGCATGAACATACATAGTAATTATTTTCACCATTACCTATTTAATTACCTTTACAACCTAACATCAATTATACTTTTACTTTCCATCATACCGGCCATTTTGTTTCTAAGTATATTTAACAATCATGCTAAGTAAGAACTTAATCTCATTTAATTTCACATAGAATTAGCTGAGACATTGTGTTGATCAATGACTATTAATCAAAGATTTTCAGAGTTAAACTCTAGTAATAATCTTAAGATTTTCATAAAGCAAATGACAATCAAGAAAAGAAAACGGACCCTAATATAGCCAATTCTTGTAAGAGCATCATATGGCAAAATCTGCTAGAAGTACTTCGAGATAGGTTTTTTTTTTCGAAAGTAAGATGAAGCACTACTACAAAATTGGCCAAAGAGACCACAAGTTAGAGACCATTTAATTAAATAGGTAGTCTCTTAGTATCAAGAGACCAAATATCCTAACTATGTGGTCTCTTTGATATTTCGAGAGACCACTTATTTGAAATAATAGGTCTCTTGTAGTTTTTTAAAATTTTAATTTAAATCGACAGAGACCATTTTTCTACATAAGTGGTCTCTTTTTTTAAAATACATATAATAATTTTTTTTTTAAAAAAAAAACAAAGGAGAGACCGGTGAAAAGTCTAATATGGTCTCCACTCCCTACATTATCAATCAAGATGGTCAACACATTCCCAATTCAATTAATTTTTTTTTTTTTTTTTGGGTTGGAACCAATTAATTAATTTAATTTTCATTTTCCCCCAAAACAATTAAACCGCCAAAACAAATAATTTTGCAGCAGCAGCGGCGCACCATCGACCTTCGACTTTGATTCTTCCGCCATTGTTTCCACCTTCGTTTTCCACCTTTTCCATTTTCATCTTCCTCCATTTTCATTTCCAAACCCATTATATGAAATTTATTACAATCTTTTGAAGTTTAGAACCCAATTTCAAACCTTTCGTCTATTGCACAAACCCTTACCGCGACTCTTGCAATCGCTCCACCACTAGGGTCGCACGACTAGCCGGAAAACACCGCCTACAGTCGCCTATTGCGCTACTAGCACCACATAGGGTCGCATGGGTAGCAATTGATTGGTTGTTTTGGGCATTGAATTCGCAATTTTAGTACTACTGCCCTAGCTATTCGCACAACTTTGCTAGCCTCCACAAGACCACAATCGACTACTGACGCATTCTACCTCCGGCCAACCACTGCCAACAGGACCAGACGGAAAACCCTAATCAGCCCTATTAGGGTCACCGCAACTAAGCTAGGTATCATATTTATTTTGTTTGTTTTATGTAGATATTATTTTGAATATGAATCGTGTAATTGTGTTTATTGATTGTTTGCTACGATGTTCTATTGTTATAGTAATCTGACCATCTTGTTCATATATGAATCCTGTTTTTATTTATACAGTAATGAGTTATTGGATTTTGATTTTCCCGCGAAAGTTTGGATTTTTTAAAAGTTGAATAAAATATTTGCTATAATGTATGCCCATTTTTTTCTTTTTATTTGCTATTGTGTAATTGTGTTTGGCTTTGATTATCATCATTTATCTGAACTTTGTTGTGATTGGAATTTTTTTCTTTTTATTTTATACGGTCCGATGCCACGTCGTTAATAGCATACAATGCGATGATTATAGATGCTATGATTAGACCAAGATTACACTTTAATTATTGTTTTGCATTTTGATAGAAATCTGTTGGTCTATTTTTAGTGATTAAACAGAGTCGTTTGTGCTATTACATTTTTAATATTCGAAATTAGTAAGTTTAATTATGTTGCTAAGGGTGAAATTAAAATCAAAGTTGGAATTACCGTCTGATATTTGATGATTCTTGACTCTCTTTCTGAGGCTACATAGAGACTTTGTTTTTAACTTTGTCAATTGCATACCTTCCTCTGTTTTTAATTGTGATTTGGTCTTTGTGTTATGAATATTCTAAGAATGACTCATGAAAGTAACATGTGTTAATAGATTTTGAGGAGTTTGTGTTTTGTTCTTCGTGCTTAGAAATGGATCGAAGTTGGATAACAACACAAAGCCAGGTGACCCTGAATATCAACAAGGTGTTAAGGAATTTATTAAATTTGCATTTGAATATAGTGGAGGTCGCTCCAAGATACGTTGTCCTTGTTTTATGTGTCATAATTTTTTGCATAAGAGACCGGATGAAATTCTCAATCATTTAAATAAATGGGCATTTGATAGAACATATACCCATTGGATTTGGCATGGGGAACGTAGAGACATGCATGCGGGTGATAGTGGTGAGACTAGGGATAATGTGCGTGTAGTTCATGATGTTGATGAGGGTGATCAGTTAGAGGACATGTTGCATGCGGTTGAGGATCAACTTGATGACAACCCTTCAATGCTTGAGAGCTTGTTAAGTGACTCTGAAAAGCCATTGTATGAAGGATGCACCAAGTACACACGATTATCTGCTATTCTTAAGTTATATAACTTGAAGGCGGGTCATGGTTGGACTGACACTAGTTTTAACATGCTTCCCAAAGATAATGTTCTTCCTGATAGTACATATGAGGCAAAAAAGTCACTAAGCCCAATGGGTTTACCTTATGAGAAAATCCATGTATGCCCTAATGATTGTGTATTGTATCGAAATCAATACGAATCATTAGAGAGTTATCCAATTTGTGAAGCTTCACGGTACAAGAAAAGGGAAGGAGCAGTACCAGCGAAGGTTTTATGGTATTTCACTATAGTACCAAGGTTCAAACGATGGTTTTCAAAAGCAGAAGATGCAAAGAAGTTGACATGGCATTTCGATAGTCGAGTTGACGATGGAATGCTTAGACATCCAGCTGACTCTCCGCAGTGGAGATTTATTGATGGAAAATTCCCTGACTTTGCCCAAGAAAAACGTAATTTACGCCTTGCGTTGTCTACGGATGGGTTCAATCCATTCGGTTCCTTGAGTAGCACATATAGCACATGGCCAGTTATGCTAGTGACCTACAACTTACCTCCTTCATTGTGCATGAAGAGAAGGTATATGTTCTTGTCGTTGTTAATTCAAGGTCCAAAGCAACCGGGCAATGACATCGATGTGTATTTGACTCCACTTATTGATGATTTGATTATGCTTTGGGAAGAAGGTGTTGAAGTGTTTGATGCTTATTGCAATGAGAATTTTAATTTGAAAGCAATGCTATTTTGCACTATCCAAGATTTTCCGGCGTATGGCAACCTTTCGGGGTACACTGTGAAGGGGAAAACAGCTTGTCCCATCGGTATGGAAGATTGCAAGGGAACATGGTTAAATGCATCTAAAAAGCATGTCTATCCGGTTCATCGCCAGTTTTTGCCGCCTAATCATCCATATCGTAGGAGAAAGAATGTGTTCAATGGGCAGCAAGAGTTTAAAGGGCGATCAAAAGTCATCTTAGGTGAAGAGATATTCGATAAGGTGAAAAATATTGACATCACATTTGGCAAGAAACATAAATCGGCCCTTTCTACGCAGGGGTATAAAAAGTGTTCGGTTCTTTGGCGGCTTCTTTATTGGAAACATCTTTTTGTGAGACATTTACTTGATGTTATGCATATTGAGAAGAATGTGTGTGATAGTTTGTTTGGTACCTTATTGAATATCAATGGTAAGACTAAAGATGGAAAAAAAGCGAGGGATGACTTGAAGGATATGGGGATTAGAGGTGAACTCCATGCTGTTGATAATGATAAAGGTCGAACATACTTGCCTCCTGCTGCTTACACTTTGTCAAGAAAAGAGAAAATCGAATTTTTTGAAAGCTTGGCAGGAGTGAAAGTGCCCGAGGGTTATTCTTCTAATATTCGCAACCTTGTGAATATGGAAACCTTGAAACTTGTAGGCCTAAAGTCACATGATTGCCATGTTTTGATGCAACAGTTATTACCTGTGGCGATTCGCTCAATTTTGCCTAAAGATGTTCGATTTGCAATTATCATACTATGTGGATTTTTTCATGCGATTTATAGCAAAGTCATTGATCCTAAAGAGTTGACTACTTTGGAGAATGAAATTGTTTTAGTTTTGTGTCAATTAGAGATGTACTTCCCTCCATCATTTTTTGATGTTATGGTTCATTTACCAATCCACTTAGTTAGAGAGATAAGATATTGTGGTCCGGTTCACATGAGAAATCAGTGGTGTTTTGAGAGGCAAATGAAAACCTATAAGGGATATGTGACGAATGCTTTTCATCCGGAAGGTTGTATAGCTGAACGACTGTTTTATGAAGAAGTTCTTGCTCATACCGGTGACTTTTTTTTAATTCAAAGCGGATAGGGCTTCCTGTATCTCGTCATAGTGGAAGAATGGATGGTGAGGGGACCATAGGTCGAAAACAGTGTGACTTGTCTTATGATGATTGGCATAAGGCGCATTCATACATTCTTCATAATGAGGATGAAGTTATGCCATATGTGGAGCAACACATGAGTTACTTGAGGAAGTGCAACAGAAAGGCAAATGAGAAATCATTAGCTGCCGAACATAGCAAATAATTCATTACTTGGTTCAAAGATCAAGTAATGACAGAGCTAATGGATTCTTCTACTTTAATTTCTGATCGATTGAAGAGTTTGGCATTCGGGCCTAATTTCAATGCCACTTACTATTCTGGATATGTCATAAATGGTTGCACATTTTACACAAGGTTCCAAGATCAACAAAGTACTATGCAGAATAGTGGTGTTACTTTAGAGGCCAAAGCCTTGCATTTTGCCAGTGCTAAAGACAAAAATCCTGTGAGTGGTTTGATGAGGTACTATGGGGTTATTGAAGAGATTTGTGAGTTACATTACTCTACTTTTTCAGTACCTGTTTTTAAATGCCAATGGGTTGATAATAACAATGGGGTCGAACATAGTGATTTTGGGCTTACATTGGCTGATCTCAACAAATTTGGTCATAAAGAAGATCCTTTCATCTTAGCAAGTCAAGCAAAACAAGTGTTTTATATGACTGACCCGACAAACAAGAAAATGTCAGCAGTTATAACCCCGAATCCTCGACATATTGATGATGATTATGGCGATGATAGTGTGTTAGACAATGCTTATGTTACGCGAAAGGTACAAGGACATATTGAGGTTGATGTAGCCGATGATGTTTCAATATATGTAAGGGATGACCACAATGAAGGCATGTGGGTTGAAAAAGAAAAAAAGGGAACCAAGAGAAAGCGCGCTGAAAAATCTTAATAGGTGTGTGAAAGTTCATTGCCTTAATTCTTTGTGGTTGTTACTTTATTTTTTCAACTTGAATTATAAATATTTGCTTTTATCATTTTAATAATTTCATTACTTATCTAAATTTTGACATATTAGTCATTATAGCATATTCTGTTTACTTTTTGGAATTGAGTTTTTTTGTTATGAAATTAACTACTCATGTCACTCTAAATTTTGACCTTCTGTGTAGTAGCAGGATGGCTCGAAAGAAATCGCAAGTGCACGTAACGGACAATTTTGAATGCGAGGAAGAAAGAGGTCGTACTGTACTCAGAATGGTTGGGAGAGCTATTCAGGTTGGCACAAAAATCCCTTTACAGTGGCATACAACTCGGAGAATCCCTATCGGTGTTCATAGAGGTCATTTCTCCACCTACATTGGTGTAGTTGTCCGTGAAAAAGTGAGCATCACCTACAGAAAGTGGTCAGACCTGCCAAAAGCACTTCTTGATGATTTGTATGACAATATTTCGGTATGTAAATAATGTTTTTATGTTTTTAAGGAAGAGAAACTGAATTATGTATCGATACTTTTAAATGTGACGAATATCTGAATTTCTTTTGGATATAGAGGGGGTTTCATATCCTTGAGGATCGCAAAGGTTGGATTATGAAACAAGCTTGCGTTCGATGGAGAGCTTTCAAGACTAGATTAAGGCTCAGGTGGTAGTACCTGAAAGATGGAACAATCAATGATTCTCCACCATTGAAATATCCTTTCATATCTAAAGATGATTGGGAAAAATTCATTCAGGCTTGTAATTCTAGGGACTTCAAGGTGCAAGTTCATTACGTTGGCATTTATTTTATCTTTATTTTTTTGTGTACATTTAAAATTTGTGTGGATTAAATTTGATATTAAATATAATTATTGCAGAAATTGAGTGAAAGAAATCGTGAAAGTTCGAAGAAGAGGACCTCAAAATATCGAGGTGGGAGACTTGGCTATCAATATTTTGAAGAAACAATTGTAAGTATATGCTAAACATTTTATAACTACTATGTGGTATTAGTGGTGTTCTTATTGCTGTAACCTTCTGTTTTTTACTTCAAATAAACTTAATACTAGCTGTTCTAACTAAATAATAATCCTGGTGTTCTGTTTTTACCTTTGCCTCGCTGCTTAGCTTAATAGTGCTCATTCCTTACCATGCTCTTTCATGATAATTTAATAAAAGAATATATAGAAACTCAATTGATAATTTTAGAAATTTTGAAATTCTTTGTGTTTCAGCTATATTTTCTATTTTATTTGCAATGGTAGGAAAAAGAGCTGGAGAAGCAAGGAGTACATGTTTCATACGTGCCTCGGCATTTGACTTGGATTAAAGCTCATTCTCATGTGAAGAATGAAGTTTTAGCTTTTGATAATCCTGCAGATAAGGAAATCCATGATGCAATAGTAAGATATATTTGCATTTGTTTTAGGTGTTTTCAGTCACTAAGATTATTATTTGGGCACTGATATAATTTTTTTTGATAATTTCCAGATTAAGTTGGAGACGCAAGTTCAAAAAGGTGAAATACATGTTACTGGTAGAGATGACATCTTAGCAAGAGCGTTGGACAAGCCAAAACGGGGTGGTTCTGTTAGGGGTGTTGGATCTGGAGTAACTAACACAGAGTACTTTGGGTTCAACAAACCACCTGCACCTAGCGAAGTCAATGCTAAAATGAATGCGATGAACTCAAAGATGGCATCTATGATGAAGCAGCAGAATTTTATAGTGTCATTCATGATGTCATGCTTGAACCAAGAGCAATTGAGAGCATTCATGGCTGGTGGTGCTCAGCAAGGTGTTTTTGGTGGTGACACTGACACTACAGGTTTAGGTGGTCTGCTTGGTGTTTCTGGTAATAATTTCTGTTTTGGTGGCGACTCCAATGGTTCTAAAAACCAAGGGGCAGGTGGTATTGTGTTCGATGATGCTCATATAGACAACACTTTTGGTCATGAGATCCCATTGACACAACTCTTAATTGGAGGTATGGAACGCCATAATGGTAAAGGGCCACAATTTAGACACGATTCACCAGGGGATAAATCTCATGAAGGGGCCTACTATGCACATGAAATTGAGTCAAATACAGAAGCTCATCATACAAACAGCCCTATTGTGCATCAGCCTCATCTTCAGAACCTTGAGACAGAGCCATATCGTGTCCAATGGCCTGAGGTGAACCATATCGATCAATCTGCACATACCACAACCCCCGCACAGCTAAGTCAAGTAGTGGACATCATTAGCACCCATACATTTCCCGAGGTTAGCCATACTTTGCACATATGTTTATGTGAAATTTTAGCTATGTAGATTTAATGGTATTAGCAGTAACCTTATATCTGCACATATTATGAGGTTATGTCCTTCCTAATCAGAATCTGAAATCTAGCATAATCATCAGAAATTGAAGTTCAGAACTGTAGATATGAACTGAATTTTAGAACCGATAATTTCAGAACTGACCTGAAGATCAAAACTTATATATGAATTTGCATTGAACCACCGATTCTACACCATATACTATGTTGTGACAACACTTGTGTGCTCATTTTTAGGGATGGAGTGACTGTTGCTTGGCAATTGAGGGAAGCGACAAATCTCTACAAGTTGTTGCTAACGGAAAAGTCCTCATAGAAAGCAGCACCGAAGTTCTTGGCAATCATAACACATTGTTGCCCCCTGGTCATCGTTGAGTCACCATTACAGAAGATATTGTGCCAACTGCTCCTCTGCCATGCCCAAACGATGAATTGCTTTTTGTATGTCATGCTAAGAGATCTTATACAGCTTGGCCTAATCATTTGATTTTCCCCAAAAAGGTAGTATTCTTCCTTGTTTTTAAGCTTCTGTCCGCTACTGTCTTTAAGCTTCTTCATATTTTTTTCTTTAAGCTACTGACTGCTGTGGCAGCGGCAGCAGCCCTGCCTGCAGCGGTAGCAGCTTGGTTTTTCGGTTCCTATGCCCTCTTAGTTTTTGGTGTGTTGTTCCTTGCATTTTTTATGATAGTCTTGTTTTATTTTTCATGTGAAAACATATTATAAAGGCGAACAACCAATCAGATAAAGAAGTTGATGTGACCACACCATCCCCACAATCTACATCCTCCCACGCATCAACAACTCGTAAGTATGTTATTACCGACAAGGATCGTGAGAAGGTGACATCTACTTTGATGCGTGTTATGAGAAAAAAAGCTATGGGGATGCAAAAGACTGGCGATACCATCTCTATCACTATTCCAGAGAGCATGTTTCTTAATGAAAATGGGTTAAATGTTTCACTTGATTACGAAGACTTGCTTGATTGGTGTTTCCAAAGGGAGGTTGGAGAATCGCAAATGAATATATTCATGAAGTAAGTTCACCTCCAATTTAGTTTCTAATTACAATGTGGAAAATTTTTGGTCCATTCTCTTATATATTTACAACTTTTGATGGGATAAGGATCTTGAAAGAACATTGTCACAAAGAAGGTATCTCGGGAATGTATGGGTTTTGTGACTCTAATGTTCTATTGCCTTTGACACCAACGACAAACGAGCAAGTTCGATCTAACTATCTAGCTCGTGTTTTTGGGTGCAATGAGGGGAAGAACTATAATCAGCTATTCTTTGCTCCTTTTAATGACAAGTAAGTATAGTTTGTTATGTAATTATGTTACTTTGATTGTTATTCTTGTTAATTATTTATGCTTTAATATATGTAATTTCAATTTTCTTAACCTGATTGCTTCTATATTGCTATGCTATGCTATTTTTACTAATAAATTCCTCTTAAAGCAAACAAAGTCAGGGCAACATTGCTATGTTAACAGTTTCTGCCCCCTTTTACATTTTGTTGTTTTTCTTATCCATTCTTCCTTCTAAAAGTGCCTTGCTGCTGGTTTAGTATGCATTAGACGTTAGCTGTTATTAGTCCGTGGAATGGGTTGGTGTATTGGCTAGATCCACTTGGAGCAGAAAATAAAATCAACTCATTCGCTGAAAAGATCATCACTGAGTATGTATAATTGCAATAACTTTGTCATTAACTTCTTATTTTGTTCTTACTGTGTATTTGGAAACTATTACAATTTTCCTATCTTCATGTAATTGTGTAGAGGAATCAAACAATTCAGCTCGGTCCATCGGAAGGACATCAAGAAAATAAAAAAGAATGCATATATTAGGTGGGAGCAACCACAAGTAAGTTATCTAAAGTTTTATAGCAGTTAATATTATGCAGTTTAATCCTAAAATCTAATATCTTGTTAATGATTAATTGTTTGCATTATCATAGTGTCCTCGTCAACCAGCATACACCAAGTATTGTGGATACTTTGTTTGTCGATATATGCTAGATATTGTGCAGAAAAGAGTGTTATGGGTTTCCAAGCAAGTTTATTACAAATATATGTCATTTAAATTGGTATAAACTGTCCTCAACTCTAACCAACTATCTGTCTGTCTGAACTGTGAAACCAACTGTCTGGTGAAACCAACTCTGAACTGTGAAACCAACTATGAATGTAACTCTAAACTGTGCAACCAACTGTCTGAATTGTGAATGTAACTCTATTTGTCTGTTGCTCTAACCAACTGTCTGAACTGTGTTCAAGTGTAACTCTGCAGTCTGCATGCAGCTTAATCATATTAACCACCAAAAATAATCAAATCAGCTTATGCAATCAGAATAGCTATAAGGTTCTAATTAAGGTTTTGTATATTCTGATTTGTATATTCTAATAACTAGAATATCATCAGCTTATGCAATCTATAATAGCTATAAGATTTTGTATATTCTGATTTGTAGTTCTAATTGTCAGGTCTACTTTTCATTTTTGAATCAGTCTTTGAAATTAAGTTAGGAATGAAATTAGAAATTGGAGTTCTGATCCCCCCTTTGAAATTTCATTATAGTTGTGATTTTAAGTTCTGAAATTCATTTCTTTTCAGTGCTTTGTTATGTCTGAAATACACCAAGTCTTGAAATTAAGTGAGCTAAGGGTGTGGATTGAGGATGTTCGTCAAAATGCTCTTTTGCTTTTTTATGTCTGATTTTCAGCTTTTGGTTAAATATCTATCTGATTTCCGTCAAAAATAAGTAAATAAATAATACTCTTATTTGATGGCATATGTTGTATGTTGCTTCTGTTTGTATCTCACCTGTCCTGAGCCTATTATGCCAATCTATAATGTTGAACTTGCTGTTGTGGCAGCTCTAAATGCCGATGAAGAATCTGAGGAGGAGTGATCGGTTGGGGTCTGTTCGTAGTAGTATAGCTTCTGTTGTCATAAAGTTTGTTTTAATTGCTTTTCGAAGGGGCACTGTGTTTGTTAATATTAGGGCCATTAGTTTTCAGCTTAGTGAATGGTTCTATGTTAATAGCTATTTGCCTTCCTCTGATTTTGATTTATGGAATGAGGTGGGCTTCTTTAGTTGTAAAACTCTAATTAATTAATATATGTCGTCTAGTTTGTGTTAAAAAAAAATGTTGTATGTTGTAGGTCTTTCCCCCAATTTGTACATATTCTTCGGAAGACATTGATGAAATGCGAGATTTGCGGATTAAATATATTCTTGATCATGAGCCAGATGAAGAAGATTCATGATGGATGAGCTTGATGATGAATCAGCAAAGCTTGAGTACGAGATAAGCTTAGTGTTAATCATTATACTTGTGGATCTAGCTCTACTTTTGACTCTTTTTTTTGGAGGAAAAGCTCTACACTTGAGTTTTGTTTTTGAATATTAGAATTAATGTAAATTTTGGGTTTTATTTCTATTGCAGAGAATTAGTTTTTGTATTAAATATTTTTATTTATATATATATATATATATATTATTTGGAAAATTTATGTTTCTATATATATGTACTGTATTAGTGGCAGGTTCAACAATGTAACATATTGGCGCCAAAATTTATTGGATGAATATGAATTGTAAAAGGAATATGGCAATTTATTTATTTATTTTAAAAAAAAACGACCTCAGAGAGACCACCTATTTAAAATAGATGGTCTCATTATTCAAAAAATAAAGACCACTCATTTAAAATAGGTGGTCTCAGTATTTAAATCCAGAGACCGCCTATTTAAAACATGTGGTCTCTTATCCTTCTATATTATTTATTATTAAACTAAAAAAAAGACCATTTATTTTAGCAAGGTGGTCTCAGGTATTGTAAAGTTAGACCACCTTTTATGAAATGGTCTCTTAGGCCAAAGACACCTGTGAGCTAGAGACCACACCTAAGGTAGTCTCTTAGGCTATTTTGGTATGGTTTCTTTGGCCAATTTTGTAGTAGTGAAGGATCCCAGCGCTTGAGATTAGAAGGGGGTAAGGGAATCCCTCTACTCCCAAACAAATACAGTTGATAGAGTTCGAACTCGTGATCTCAAAATCATAAAATGATTATAGACATGTCCGTAGAATGGTCGAGGTTGGCTAAACAAATGATACGTATTATAATGTACAGTACATAGAATATTAAAGAGTAGTTAATCATTTTCAATACGAGTACAATTTATTGTGAATTCACTAGCTATGTACACACTACTCATAATTATACACTTGTACTATAAACTATTTACTATTTAGTCATCATTCAAATGATTTTTGCAATGGACAATAAAATTAATCAAAATTAAACTGTACAACATTACGGCATGAACATCGTCCATTGACCATTATTAGACTATTAGGTATGTAATCGATGCCGAAAATAAATTTTAGTAAAATAAAAATAAATTGGCATTTGCCCTTGACATACAGTACTCCCCTTTAAAAGTATTTCATTGAACATGATTGGGTTCAAGAAATATATTTATAGATACGTGAAAGAGTCTATACAATACTCGTGAAAAAAGCTTGGTAAAAACTTGTCAATAGCTCATTCACTAAGAAGGCAAATGATCAACTTGAACAAAAATATTAACAATTAAGTCTCGATCTTAGATACATTTTTTTTTCTTTTTTTTTTTTTTAGATAAAACTTTTTGAAGAGGTGAGAGAATCAAATCTTAGTTTCCTACATAATGTTGTCTTACTTTAATACTTGTGTTTTCTTGTTATACCAATATAGATATAGTTTTGCCACTTGTTTAAAGCATCACAACCACAAAGTCTAAATAAATGTTATTTTCTCCTCATCGACCTCGCTCGCTTGTGTTTGTTGTATATACACAATAACACAAATATCTTAATTGATCGTTTTCTCTCTCTCTTAACTCTAACAAGCAAAGATGCCCCTTTCTCAAATCATAATAAGTTTACTTAGGGACTGTTCTCATACGTTTATTTTCAGTTCATTTTTCATTTCAGCTTCTAATTTCCTTCTCTTATAAAATATTCATTTTAATTCAGTTCATCTCCTAATTTCCTTCTCTCATAAAATATTCATTTCATTTCAATTCAACTGAGTTTAGTCAATGAGAACAGACCCTTAATACACAATAACACGAATACCCTAATTGATCGCTCAACTCTCTCTCTCTCTCCTCATAGGTTACCCTTTGAATGATGGGCAAGAGTAGATTGCAATATCCAGTGTCAAAAAGACTTGGATTATAGCTCAGCGCATGGATAAAACTTTTAAAATCGTGTAGGTTGATCATTCATTGAAACGATACTAAAAATATGTGTAAAATAATCTAAGGTTGTTACATGTAAAGGAGTTAAACAAAATTTTGTTGAGACTGTTATAATAATTAGGATATTTTTAAAAACAGGTCCGGACCTAAAAAATGAACTAGAGAACATGAACGAATTGATGGGAACCAATTCGGTCTCTAGGTTGAGCAAAATTTGATTTTTGGTCTTTTTGTATAGTTCTGTTCATATCCATTTAAATATCAATCTAGAATCAAATTAATTTAATTTTTATTTATTTAAAAATCCAATGAAACTTCTATATCTACCTTTAACGTGATAGAAATATTTTTACATCATGATTGATCAATTTTATAATATATGATCAAAATAGGAATTAAATAACATTTTTTATATTTAGAAAAATTGTTGCATTAAATTAAATAATCTCAACATTTATCGTGTGCCCAAAATAATAATACAGACATAAGATATTTGCTGTAAACAATAGCATCTATTCAAATTTTCGTGCAAAATATAGTACTGTAGTACATACACTAGTGACAAGAATTGAAACCTTAGGAAATTTTTATTAATTAGTTCAAATAATCTATCTTTTAAAAAGTTTTATGATCTGTATTAAAAAAAATTTCAAAATAAAATAAAATTGATACCTTTTTTATACTGAGTATGTCATATTATAAATAAAAAATTAGTCAAATTTATTAAACTCATGATAATTTTGAAAACTGACAACAAAATAGTGAAAACACCTTTTTATTGTTTCTTATTTTTGGTTTTTTTTTAAAAACAGAAAACTGAAAACAAAAAACGATGCCAAACAAACCCTAAGATTTTGAGGATCATTTTGGTTATTAAGGGTCAAATTTGTTGTTGTATCTTACAAACCAATGTGTTTTTGGCTGTTATATCCAATTTCGGGCCTAAAATCTATTTCTTTAGGACCAAAATAATCCCTAAAATCTTAATCGAACAATTTTGGATTTGAAAATGATGCACATAAACCAAACCACTTCTATGCAAACTAATTTGGCTTCAACCTTAATTAAATTTGGTTTTTAAAGGCTGAAATGACCCCTAAAACCTAAATTGAGCAATATTGCAACTTAGAAAGCACCTACACAATTCAAGAGATTTTAGGTCTTTTTTGCCAATTTCAATCACTAATTTGTCTCTTAGAAATCAAAATTACCCCCCAAAGCTTAAAAAAATAATCAATTTTAGCAGCTCAGATTTAAAGCACTCAAAACAAAGCATGTCCTTACACCCAAATCTATAGATTTTCAATAGATTTGAACATAATACAATATTTCCTAAGACTCTCAATTTAGTCCGTGGTGTACTATTTTATTTTGTGCAAATACTTGAATAGGTGGTAATGCTAAATTAAAAGCAAAACCATAAATCAAATTATTTTGCACACATAGCCAACTAGACAATAATCGGTATAATTTAGCGCAAAATTTCCATCCATATATTCTTTCACTTTTTCCATTATGATGTTAAAATATATTTTTTAAAAAAATAAAATAAAAACTGGTATGTACTTGTCCGGTTTAGGTTTTAAACGAGTTTAATCGGTCCAGGCCAAGTCTAGTCTAAGCAAAATCGGGTTAGTCTTTGGCTCTTGAATTTTAAATTTTGGCTTTCGGTCCAATGAACAACCCTAACGGCGATAATAATATTCTGTATAAATTCGTTGTGGGCATTGGATCAAATAATTTCATTTAGTTGAGTGATGCCCCGCTTGCTCTGGTAGATTCCAGAATAATGGAGTATAAATTACTCTT